AACATTAAAGAAGGGCCGCACACCCTTCCAGATAGGGCACGCGTCGTCACTGATATATATATATATATATATATATATGTATATGCATTCATTAAATATTAAATATTAAAAAGCTCTTATCAGTAGTTACAATTTTTAACAAAATATTTTTTTTTGTACGGAGAAAAGGTTTAAAAACACCTAACGAATTGATACTATGTCATCTCAATAGTGGTATGCTTGGTTAGCACGGACTAAAAACAAACCCCCTTGTGTGCCAGACAGTTCCTACTCCGGAACTTTATCAGGAATACTTCAGGGTAGGGTCCTTATGTTGGTTATCTATTAAAAAAATATATTTTTTTTCGTTAGCATTGGTTAGGTTTATTTGTTTGTCTCTTTATTGAGATTAGTCATTTTCGAGATCATACTTTTGCCGTATGAGTATGATCGTAAGGAATCGGTCTATGGCTGGAAACTCCAGTTTTCTTCAGACAGCATCATCTTCGTTGTGATATCTTCATCGACTATTGTCTTAAGCAATGTTCTTTCGGTGTTCCATCTATCGCATTTGAACACAGTGTATTAGCGTCGTCTTCGTCTGCATCTCAGTATATAAACAAGTAATAAATATTAACCATTGAGAATCATTTGCATTAAGAATTAACTTGCTAGAAAATCTTTGAGAGAATGAATAGTAGTTAAAAGTTGTTTAATTAAATATAGTGGTAACTGTTACAACTATTATCGTAAATCAATGAAAACTCTTTGCTTTATATATTCAAATATATGCTTGATATTCTCATACAAATATTTTATTATAAGAGCAACTAACAAAAAGTGATGTTTATATTAAACAATTTACAAACATAGTTGTTAGACTATATGTGCATTGCGATCTTAAAAGATCTTTTAGTTCTTCCATTTAATGTTCACTAAGCTGTAGACTATTAAAAAACTTATGTTTACCAGTTTAATTTAAAATTTCCGAGGCTTAAAATTGATTTTGTATCCAGTCACAGATTTTACTGATTTAAATGACAGCGTCTATAGGAATTACCTTTTTTTAAAACTATAATCTTAAAATAAAATTTGAATTGATTCATTTTTGTCTTTTCTATTAATATTTCATCATAATTTCTTACGGGTGATTAGCTTACTTGCTTCCTGCAAGCACTCTTGGGACTTCCCGTAGTCAGTTCACTTCTGATTTTAACTTCTGATAAGTTTGCTATATAGAGTCTAATAGTTAACTAAAATAAATGTTGAGCTCTCAATTAATTTTTAAAAAAACTTTTAAGAACAAAACCACTCTGAAACTTTACATTATTACATAGAATAATTAGTCTAATTAATTTATTTATTCATAATTTTATATAATTTCGTATAACATATATATGTAATACAATATGTTTAATATGAGGTGAGCAATTAATTAATTGTTAAAAAATACTTTCAAAAATAATGCTGTCCTAATAAAATCAATTTGTAAGCAAATTTGCATATTAATTTGAATTAAATATAAACACTAAATATTTTTAATGCTAATATATAGCATTAAAATTTTATTTAATTTAATAGTGCTCAAACGTAAAGTCTGAAGTTCATGTTGTTTTTTATTTAAATATTTTTAAAAAGGATATCATTCTGAAAATTTATATTATTAAATAAAAGTTAATAATAAATGTGATTTAGAAATAAAAAATTAATATATTTGTGATATATTTTTAAATTCTTTTGCGTAATTGTAACACGTTAAGTACAGGATAAATTAATTTATTAAAATTTTAATTGTTTAATTTATATTTATTATGAAAATCAAAAATAAAAAAATAAATAAAAAACATTTTTTGATATTTATTTCAAACTTTTTTTTATAAAACTAGTGGTTGATATTAGTGCTTTAGTAAAAATAATTTTAATTGTTTATTTGCCCTACAATCTACAAAGAGTGTTGTGAACTATTATTTAATATAAATAATAAATACCTACGGTGCCAATAAAATTTTTCGTCAGATACTTTAATTTAGTAATGTGTCAAGCGTTTAACTTATTATCAACAGAGTTATACTTGCTTTACCGGTAATGATTAGATTTCTGGTTATACTATACAACGACCTTGCAATTCACCTTGACTTTTAAATATGCTCAAAAGTACAACCGAAATGATTCTCTAAAGCAGCTCCAATAGTTCCAACTTATCTGGTTTTCAAAACAAAATGGCAGAGGAAGGTGCAGTACTCTGATGTTATCCTCATCTGTTGCTTGTGTTTGATATATATTTATTGTTAAATTATACAATAAAAGTATATCTATAATTTTCAAAAAATTTCATAGTTACTTTATTCCCAGAATTCCAAGAATACTCAAATTATATTTCATGAAACGTTAAAGATTTTCAATGGCGGCAAAAAGTATAGCGCATTAAAACAAGTTTAGTGAGTAATGGAAAAAAATTGATTAAATTTTTTATTGTATCCATAAATTCATGTTATGGAAACGTCAAACCTTTATCTACTCCTGACCATCAGATTAGAGATTAGGAAGTTCTGAATTGATGTTGAATTTCTATATTAAAAATTTGACTATAATAATGCTAATGCTCTGTTTTGTTGTTTACAGAGCGTAAAAATACTGCCCAATGTAATAAATAAATAAAAACAACATAAATTTTACTAAAAAAATTTTTTTTTATAATTTTATCAAAAAAATATAAAGTTATCTATAAGACGATTTTATTATAGCAAAACATTTTGAATATAAAAATATTTGATTTCAAAGCATGCAATAAAGAAATTATGGAAGTATGGGTTTTAAAGAATAAGGCACATTTCGTCACGGGCGTTTAGAAAGCACACTTGGTAAACAGACTTAATATGATTCAACTTCCGTAAAGGTAATTCGAACAGACATTGAACCTGCCAAAAATTGATTGCCTTCGTTTAGTTACTTTTTTCACTTTTCTTTAATGAGATAAGATAAGATAATGCCCTCTCTTCAATATTGTCATAACAAATATCTTAGTTTTCCACTTCGCATCCACAGTTTTTTATTCATATCTGTTAGTAATTTATCAGCTTACACACCTCTGACACACTCTGACACGATATATCGTGTAATCAGAATGGGTATGTGTACAATTATGTGAGGGTATCTGTTGAATTGTTGATCTCCTTGCATCTAAATAGTCTAATTGTATCTTTATTATGATCTCAGTAAGATTTTTGAATATTTGTACTGAGCTTTGACTTTACATTTTCAAACTATATGTCTGGTAGGTGCATGCTTGATAGTCAGGAGTTACATTGTCACAGCTGTTATCTAGAAATTGGTTGTTGATATTTGTAAGAATTAAAACGATCATTGATAAGATGTCAATATTAATACTTCTTTTAAATGGATTTTTAAAAAACTTTTAGAAATTCGATATCAAGAAATTTTCTCTTAAGTCTAAAATTAATTCTTTTTATTCTCTAAGTATTTGATCTTTGAATTACAATAGTTAATTTTTCATACTGTTCTCGTATTAAACGTTCTGAACAGTTTATACACAAAATATCATTGGAGCGCCTTATGAACATGTGATCTGACAAGTGATCAAATATTTAGATTTGTAATACTTAAATAATCTTTTCAACATCAGTACAAATTGATGAACTACTGCCACCTAATGAAATGACTAATTTAACTTTCCAGCATTTAATTAAAAACTCGACAACTCGACAGTTTGCATTAAATAATCAAAGAAAAGCGACCAGAATTAGCCAACAAAAGAGAAGTTGTGTTTCATTACGACAATGCCAGATCACACACATCTTTGATGACTCGAAACAAATAGACGGAACTTGGTTGGGAAGTTTTGATGAATATACCGTATAACTTGCACCTTGCCCTATCTGCCTATCATTTCTTTCGGTCTCTGAAAAATTTACTTGATGGTAAAAAATGGGCTGATCGCAGACGTGCTGAAAATTACATGTCCAAGTTATTCTCCGATGAACTACTCAAATACTGTCAAATGGTTAAGCAAATTATGGTCAATATAAGCTTTATTAAAATTAATTTTCTATAAAGAATAGGCATACTTTTTATATCATGTAATATTGTAATAAATCTCATTCATTTGTGTATAGATCTCGATTTCGAAGTCAACATTTAAGTGGCAGGTCATTAAATAACTTCCATGTACCTCAATTAGCGATTTTTCGCGGTTTTACTACCACATTCCTCGCAAGAATCCTAGTGCATAAGAGTAGAGACTAAATTCATCCCGCCGAATTTAGATAATTTAATAGGTCTTTCATCTTCACCGCTGAGCAATCTAATAGATTATTAAAGAAGTATTTTCCTAAGAACCTCTATCTTCTGGACGCTAAAGCCGGGCATTCACAGAAAAAAATGTATTATTGTTTCTTTCTCCTGCGGGTTTCTACAACTTCTGCAGCGAAGGTTATGGGGAATGCACAGTTTCTCTGCGTGAGTTCCTACACACCAATGACTAGTAAGAACTGTAGTACTCCCTGCAGTGTTCACGCGATCTCTTTTGATGAGTTCCGAGGATTGGTCTTAATGGTTTAAAGAAAATTTTATACTGATTTTGTGTTTATAGAGCAATGTCTGCATATATATATATATGTATATACTATACAGAACTATGTGCTTGTAGCATATATATATATATTCAGATTTAGAATAAAATTGAAACAAGATTTTATTTAGTTATTAATGTTTTAATTTATTGCTTATTACAGTGTAATATAATTTTTAATTAATTAAGTAAAAGTGCGTTAATTAATTAATTAAATATATGTATGTGTATATATATAGTACATATATGTATTACTTATAACTTAATAAATAGATAAATTAAAAATAATTAAATATTTACATATTTTATTTAAATAAAAGGATATATAAGTGAAATGAAATTGTGCTGATTATTTTATTGAATATAAACAATTTATATAGCAAAAGCTAAAATTGCGCCTGTAGAACTAATATTAACTCTGATTAACATTTTTTTTTAAATTTCCGAAATATTATTGCTTAATTGCTTTATCGTATCTAAATCACAGTAATCCAATTTTAAAGTTTTAGATATTTGCAAAACCTAATAAATGCATAATAATAAACTCCAATTAAATAAATTGTACTCGTATTGAATTTGTAAATTTCAGTATTAAATAATTTTAAGCTACTCATATGTAATGATTTTTTTTAGGTTATGTGTAATATATATAATAAAATGTATATATATATAATAAACTACTTTTAACGTATTGCTATTAAGTAAATGGTGCCTTACATGAAAAATTCGACTTTGCGCCTAAAACATACATTAACTTGCAGTTAACAGTTAACATCGTGATATGTTGATTTAGTGTGGATAATGTGGATTGTGTGGAATCTACTTTTAAAGATATACGTATATCAATATATAGTAATATATAACATTAAGTGTGCTATTAGGAATATATAGCAGTTCATATGAACGGCAATAGGAAATAATTTATAAAATTATTACAGAATGTTTAAGATTAAAAAATGCCTCCAAAGCGAATTAGAGAAATCAAAAAATTATCTCATAGATAAAAGATAAGGAATTTAACAATCCACTTTTTCCAATTTCTGCTGCGGTTCTTGTCTGAGTTTTAGTGCATGCAAGTAACGATCATGCTGTGGATGGTGTGAATGATCATTGCGTCGCTTACGATGATGATTTGCGTGAGTATGTTGTTCGGCTGGTATTTCATGGTGATAATGACGTGAATGACGTTTTCTATGATTGTGTAGGAGTTCAGTTGAAACTGATGATTCCAATGAGTTGTCTGCTGTGGGTGCTAAGTTAGTTGTTGCTTCGATATCAGTAGCGATAGAGGATTTTGGATGAGAATTTAGTTGACGACGTAAATTATCACTTAATTCTTGTTGTTGTAGCTTATTGTAATTCTTTGGTGCAAAAGCGGCATATCCAATAAGTTTAACATCTAATCTTGGATATCTGAAAAAAGTAAAATATAAATGTGATGAATATTGTGTTATTGAAATAATTTTCATAAATTATGGTCGTGTGCGAGTTAGGCTAAGTTGCGTTCTAAATGAGGGAAATTCTAAGTTGTGTCGATAATGTATTGATGTGTCGATACGTGTTGATAAATGCAAAATGTGTGCAGTGCAAAAAATCCCAAAAAATCTCCCATTTGGTTTAGCATCAACTTAGCCTAACTCGCACATGTCCTATATATTTTATGTTGTATATTTTACGTATTATGTGTTATTTAAACACTTATAATATATCAAATTTTTTGTGTTACATATTTTAGGTACTATATATTAAACAATTATAATACATTACATATTTTATTTTATATGTTTTGTATATTTCAGATATTATGTGTTATGAAAACAGTTATAATTTATTTGATACTTTATTTTGTATATATTGAATAAGCTCTCACTATCTTAGTAAGAGTATATATAAGTATGACATGAATTCTATACTTGATTCTAATAACTAATATTGCTAATATCAACTATAATGAAAGAATATACAATAAAATGTAGGTAAGAAATAATCAAAATATCTTTTAATGTACTTATAAGATGTATTCTAATAAATTACTTATTAATTTTATTCACACAAAATATTTTCTATCATAAATTATAAATACAGACAATAAAATATCGGTTCAAAATAAAAAATGTGATGTTGTGAAAAAAAGTCTGAGAAAGAAAATTGATTGAGTGCATACATGACAATATTTTGTCACGAAAGGATAGCCAAACACACTTCTTTTCTTCTTTATATTACTGCGATTGATATATACTAAAGAATTGGTTTTTTTTTCTTTAGTAAACAAATTAAGAATATGTATATATTAGGAAACTTGACTGACCTTAATAATTGCATTCTAATACCTGTTTATTCAAACGCTTCTTTTAATAAAGGCCTCTTGTCTACGACATATAGGTTCCAAAAGAAAACTCTATTAAACCCAAAAGCCATTATTTATCCTCAAAACAATAAAAACTGTTTATTTTACTTTGACATATACTGGTTTTTATTCCCTTTAATTTGTCTTAGTCGATTTGATCAGATTTCAGTCGAGTTATGGAGTTAGATGAATTGAATTTTTTTTAATATTCGATAAGTTCTTTAAGATTTTGATTTATCTAAAAATTATAAACGATTTATTTTTGTTTAAGAATACTTATCTTAAACACTTAGACTTAATTGATACTTTACTTATCAATTAAGTCTTATCAATTATCAATTAAGTAGCTCTAATTACTTTAATATGAAATATTGTTACTCATACGCTGGGATGTCTTATAATAAAAATATATGAAACAGTACATTCAAAAAGTTTGTTATAGGAAAGTAATGTAGAATCATTAGTTTTACTTTTTAGTTTTAGTTTTAATTTAATATCTACACAGTATGTTCCAAAGTCTTTTAATTGGATAATTTTTCTTGCGCAAAGAGGATTGATGTCATTATTTATTCAGTATTGTGATATATTATTGAATTTTTTTATATATGTATTTGATTAAGGAATGTATTGTTGTCTTATGCCTTTTTTGTTTGGTAAATCTGGTATAACTTTTTAAATTGAGATTCACTTTTATTGCAATTTATAAAACTCTAGATATTTTGTCAAAGTAGCAAGATGACACTGAAATGAATAACTGTTTTATATGTATTAATATATAAAGTGTCATTTGATTCAGTATATGTATTTATATATCTACTAACAGTTTTACAAAAATGTTAGATTTCTCTAAAAATGTTCCATTGGGCAAAAAAAAAATGGCAGATCGGTAGTAAATATAGTTTGAATCCAGATTTATCAATCGGAAACACCATTAATTAGGTATTTATAACTGGGTTCAATACGACACTGGGTGAATTCGAATATAAATACTAACTTAAATGTTATTATTATCATTTATATACTGAAATGCAGAACATGAAAAAAACAGAAAGAGTAACAAATATCTTAAATATATGGTTTTCAGCCAATCGATATGTATGTTAAGGTGTAGTTGTAACTTTCGCAGAAGCGCAAATTAATATAAGGTATCTTCTGTAATAATTGTGACTTAAGATACATTACTAAAGTTAAATAATTGCGAATGATATCGTGTTTAAAGATATTACTTTAAACATTTTGAGAGAATATTTATATGTATAAGTAGTTTCATGAGCCTGAGTCTCATTGTGATATTATTGAGATATTAATTGTACCTTTGCAACTACCTCCAGTTATTATGGTAATTTATTGAAAATTATTAATGTATTTTTAAAATAGAAAAAAGGATCTTGCACATAAAATGCATATAAATTACAGACTTTTAAGTGTTTTAATAAAAATAATTAAATGTGTCACAATTCTAACAATTAATATAGATTTTCTTTCAAAATTTGTGCAAATATAATTAACACGAAATCTCAAAATAAATTTCTTTTCTAATTGAATGCGTTTAGGCTTGTTTGCTAATTGAATATTTTACTGTTGCATACTTTTAGGTCGTGCATTTTATTATATCCACAAATTATGAAATGTGTAGAAAGAATCCTTTATAAAGTTTAATATATATATCATGATATCAATAGTGAAGTATTAAAATAAATGAAATAACATGATGAATTCTGTAATACTAGCTAAAATTTACTAACTTAGTGTTAACAACTTAATTTATATTATAATAATATAATCATAATATAATAATAATAATATATAATATAATAATAATAATATATAATATAATAATAATATATTAATTTATATTCATTTGTTATTGCTATTGAAAAGGTTAAAAAATAATAATTTAAAATAAGTTAGGCAAATTGTGAGTTGTTAACAATTCTTCAATTCCAATTTTAAAAATTTTATATTATTTTTATAATAAATAAAATTTTTTTTATATTTTTTATTTTTATAAATAAAAATTATTTAAAATATTCATATGTAAGTGTCAGTATCAAAAATTATTCCTTACTTGTATTTTTCAGAAATGATAATAAAAAAGTTTTTTCAAAGTCACTGTTTTCATAAAAAATAGGACCTTGAATTCGTTTTTATATAATATTAACGATAATAATAATAATGAAATAAATACAAAATAAATGTATATATATATACATTTTTGTTTTACTATTATTCAACCTAAAATAACAATATATTGTGTAATTCCGTTTCGACATAATCACATAATAATTGTGATTTGTGTTTATTTGCTTACCTTGGCACTTCGTTTGTTGTATACGAAGACATAGACGGTTGAAATCTGTAGAAATTCCACGGGATGGCAAGACCTAGGAAAATAAAACTTTGTTAAAATTTTGAATTCGGAAAGAGTGAAAAATGCATGCTTGGCGAATTTATGCTTGATTAGGCTTATTGCAGCAGTTACTTAAGCACAGTCATACGGGCACATATATATCATAATTTTTTTATTATTAAGACAATAATTAATAAAAACAATAAGCGCAGCTGAGCATGCACTCATTTAACTAAACGAGCAATTAAAATAAAGTTTGGAAAAATAAAATTAAAATTAATTAATTAAAAAAACACATAAACAATTATTAAACGAAAATTGGCAAAATAAACAAAATGGTAATAAAATGCTGTTAAAATTGAAAGCAGCAGCTTAGTTTTTTTTTAATCCTTACCAATTCGAAAGAGTTGAAACCGTCATTTACATCGTTATTTATCACAATTTTTCATTGCAATTTGAATAATTCATATACTCGTATATGAACATAGATAAAATACACTTCAAGGTAATTTTAGAACTTTAGTGCATAATGCATTTTACACTAAAGTTCAATAACTTAGCCAAACTAACTCTAAGCAGAGTTTAATTTCGTTTCTTTAAAACGGAAAAAGGATTTCAATTACAATTTTAATTTGTTTACAAAATTTGCGATATGAATGCAAATTCATTGAAATATGATTTCAAAATAATTATAAAAAAGTTGTCCGATTTCAAATACGTAAATACAAAATACTGTTTTGTATTATATAAGTTGTTTTTTAGTTGACACAAAAAACAAAAAAAAATTATATTGAAGACTTAAAAGTGCTTTGCACATCGGGTTTTTCTGTTCTATCTAAAAAATCTCGTGTAGTGATGGAAGTAATGGTTTTAATGAATTTAATTGGTATTTGTAGATTTTTAGCTAGCATTAGTTAAGCTTGGCTAACAACACACTTACCTGCCTCTTCACATTTAGGTGGGTTAAAATATAAACCCGGCTTGAGTGGGCGCTCTTCCTCGTCATGCACTTCGATCATTAGCCAACCAATGAGCACCGGTTGACGTGTCTGTGACATTTGTTGTAAGTTCTGTTGCTTTTGAACAGTTTCCCATATGTAAATGGCACGTTTTATATCAATCTCTACCCAGCCAATGCTTGAAGAGTTCATCATTACAGTGTTACAGATGCGCTTCTTTCGTTCTGCTTCAAATTGAAGGAATCACATTAAAACTATTCGGAATTTTGTAAAATTTACTTACGTTTATTGCGACGCAGCTGTTGTACAATCGAGACTGTTATTCGAATTTGTGTGTCCAAGACTGGTTCAGCACAACGTTTGTTCTTACGACTTTCAACTTCAGCTACTTCCACGTTTGGATAATTTGATGTAAAGTTGGGATTTATTTTGTATAAACGTAAAACGGCGCTGTCCAAATTAATGCGATCAGTGTTTGGTTCAAACAGTGTGTCTGAGAAGCGAATCGTAATGTTATTGTCATGTGCCCAAGATGATTCATCGAACTCAGAACTGCAAACGGGGTAATAGGCTATTTCATGCAAAGGATGTTCCTGACTTTCGTCCCAAGTTTTTTCCAATAATGCAGACTGTAAGCGGTTTCGAATATCGTTAACTCTGTAAAAATGATACAAGAATAATTAAAAATATAATTTTTTATTAGTTAGATTAAAATTATATTAATTAATTATTATAATTATTATACTATTTAATAATTTTGTTTTTGAAACTCTGTAAAAATGATATAAGAATATTAAAAATATTTTTTGCTAGTTAGATTAAAATTATATCAATTAATAATTTTGTTTTTAAAACGGGTCAATTGTTAAATAATAAAATTTTTTAAAATAAATAAAAATTTTTTTAAAAACTGCACATATTTAAAAATATGTAAATAAATATTTTTTTAACAATACTTTACACTTTTTTAAAAATTAGTAAATAAAAATGTTTAAAAACTAATTTTTAAGAATATGTATTTTTTAACAATTTACCAATTAACCCGTTTTAAAAATAAAATTATTAATAAAAATTATTAATTTTTAATTATTAATTATATGAATTGAAATTATAAATGATAAATAATGTTTTTGTTAAATTTATTAAATAAATAATTCAATTAACAGATCAGATTATTACTGATTATATATATATAAGTATATATATTATATATATATATATTATAATTTTTTCTTAGTATTTATTATTATAAATGATTTTTCTTATTATTTTTGTTTTTTAAATGGTTGGAAAGCATCTAAGCTGTAATTAAAAACTTAAACAATCTAAAATTATATCTTAAAAATGAATTATGTTAAGATGAAAGCCACAAATCTAGATATAAAAAATAAGAGGCTCAATATTGGATGTGGGTGTTTCAATTATCTCCAACTAAGGAATAAAAACTTTAATTTCTTTGATCAGAAGAGAAATTGGTTAAAAATATAAAGATTTTTTTGTATGATAAAATTTAACGCGGGTTTTTATATCCGAGGTTAAAAAGCGAAATGAAGGAAGGAGTATCATATAGATATTATTCAAAATGCAGAATATGTGAAGGAATATTGTAGCGATAAAGAATAGTTATTCATGTAACCTTTCCTTCATAATTAATTGATTAAACTCAATAAAACCGGCTATTTTATGTGTAGTCATATTTCAAAATGAGTAAAGGAAGATGGTGTATCTTGTTAAAAGAGAAACTCAGCTTCTAAGAGATCAATGATCACGAGGACGCGCTGAGGGAAGTTCTTTAATATGCAGAATATCCGGAATAGGATTGGGATACCGGATAACTAAAGACTAGATTGAAATAAAAATTACTACGGAAGGAAGAGCGTACATTCCATTTTGTTAAAATAGAGAGTCAATAATTCAAGGGTTAATGAAATAAATCACGAAGAACATCAGAGAAAGTTTTTTAAGTTTTTCTCTCAAAATTAGTATATATTATTTTGTCATACATATATTAAAAAATTAATTTTTTTTTTTTTTTTAAATTAAATAAAAACAAAAATTTATTTTAAAATGAGAGAGTAAAATTTCTTAGTTAAAACAAAATATAAAAAATAATATTATTTTGTCATATCTATGTTAGTGTGTACTGAAAATCTAGATCTAAGTAGCATAGATTCATTCTGGTTAACCTAACATTTAATTTGATTGGAAACACTGATCGGTTTTTTGATTGAGATGCTTCTACAGAGATAACATAGAAGCAGCTATATGGGATACCTGCAAATATTTATCATCAGTGATCCTTCAGAGCATCTATTGGTTAAATTGTCGGCATATAAGTTTTAGACTGTAAGTGTCAAAAATTGAACCCTGTAACATTTGGGTTATGGACTAAGTACAATGATTAAATATAAAAGATGATTATATAAAAATCGAATATTAATGAAAATAACTTAATTCGATTGAGAAAAAATTAAAAAAAAAATGTTTAATACAATACATTAAAAACTGCATTAAACTCTAAGTACAGGTAGACAGAAGAGAGCAGAGTTCCAGAAAGCTTCCAGAAAACACAAGAAAATATTTTTTTAATTTACATAGAATGCAAAGAGGATCAATGTGCATAAGCTGAGTAAAACAAGTTGTTTGATAGTTCAAAAAGATGGATCACTGCAAGGATTCTGTGAAAAAGGATCCATGTGTGTAAGGTAAGTGAAACAGTTTGCGGCCCTATGCCCCACTAGGGGATATGGATACTAAGAAGAAGGAAGTGAAATATGTGGTTGATATATTGAAAAAAGAGCTGTAACACTGCAATATTACCAGTAAAATAATAAAATTTAATTTTTTTAGCAATGTTAGAAAGTCAACATTCATTGGAAGTAAAGTGCTTCTTATGCGTATATGTGTATATGTATACATCAAATATCCAGATGGCTAAATTTACTATAAAAATATAGTAAATAAATCTACATCATGAAGATGTTTGTTTTATAAATTTATTATTTGTTCGATATTTACACGCGCTTGAAAATTCCGTTGCTCACAAAATGTGAGAATAATTCCAAATTAAAATGAATTAAATTTTACGCACGTGAAACTTTTCCTAAATGTATGTTACTACGATATCTGCAGACAAAAATTCGTATTTGCATGTACATATTTAAATATTTATTTTATTTTATTTTGTGAGTGTATCTGAATAGCTTAATTCAGACACTTCTCTCACATATTCAAGTACACATACAATATCACATAACAACAGCTACACAGCTACGCGTATTGTCGATCATTATCAAAAGCCGGGAATTTAAAATGATTCCGGTACACTATACATTACTATGATCTAATCACAATAAAACCGTCTGGACAAGCAATTCCGAAATGCAGATAGACAACAAAAAACGAGCAGAAAAACAACAAAACAAGAATTGTATCTGAGGTACGTACGTATCTGAATAGTGTACAGCAGTAGCGGCATGAGCTACTGCTCTGAGTAGTTAACTTTACTCTGGCTATGCACAGGCAGGGAAGCTTTGAAGTATCGCGGATAATTGCCATTTCGACGCTATCCAATTTGAGTAAACATCATGCGAGCGCTGGTACTGGCCTTTTATAAAACAGTTCTGAGCAAACTCATGCGCATATAAAACAAACAAGCTTTCAACATAAATTTTATTATTTGGTTGTTTTGCTGTTATTATTGCTATTATTTTCGCTAATAATAAATATCTTAAAGCGATTTTCGTCTAGTCTGGTATGCAAAACATGAACCATACAGACGATCGTAAAATAGTCGTTGCTCATATTACACATATCACACGATTTTATGTATTCTAACCGCTTTTGTTTTCTCATAAGCGAAATTTTTTATTTTCAAAAAAGCGGAATTTTTTCACAAGAAAAACCAAATTTTCTCCACTAACTATTTCCACTTGGTTGGTTAATTAATTATATATCGTAAATATATTAATTATATTAATAGTTTTCATTTATAGACATTCAACAATCATTAACATGCACACATTCGCTTTACTTAATTGTCTGAGCTGCATTATCCAGCCTTGCAGAAAAAGCTTACCCATCGAAGAATACGAAGACAAAGTAACGAAAAAGAGGGCTTGTCTTGTCTGGTAGCATGTCTAGACTTAGATATGCTCATAGATATGACGCGACTATGGCTAATTGGTATGTGTGCAAATATTTGCTTCCATAATTTTTACACATTCAGCGTTTATGATGAGATATGTTGGAGCAAATAAGTCAAATGCAAGATCAGCAGAAAGGGACATGTATACCATCGTTTTACCGAATTATCTAATACAATCTATTAGAGCGAAAATTATGCAGATTACAAAATTTTTTTTAAAAAAAAAAGTGTCAAAAACACTTGGGACTTGAACATTGAAAGTTTGTGCAGCCTTGGCTACTTGTGGAAAAACTCAATTAGCCATCGCTTCTAATTTGATAGGCACGAGTTCTAATCCTGGCACTTGCAGTCCAAACAAATTATATACGGATTATAAACTAATTAAAAAGAAATTCGAATATTTCCTAAGAACACTGATGATAAGTACTTGGCAATACTCGAAATAGCGTTGTAAGGTCTGCAAAATTTTAATAAATTAACTAAAATTTTTGTTGTTGTCATTTTATTTCTATTCGCACCGTTCTAACTTTTAAACAGAAATTTCATTTAGTTTAACAATTTTTTTCGGATTTATAAAACTTATTATTTCGTGTACTTCAATTAAAGAGACTCTATTTAATCATTCTTAAATTTATTACTTAGTATTAAATAAGCATATCGATATTATCTTGAAAGTACTTAAAGAAAGAACAGAAAAGTGGGAGAAAGTACCCAAGGAAATAAGAGGACACTGATCAGAAGTACTCAAAGAAAAAAAAGAAAACGGTGACAAATTACTTAATGAAAGGCTGAAATAAAACGGCAATATATATATCAATATATATGATCTCCTAAATAAGGAAAATATATATAGTTGTTTTCTCTTACTATATAAGTTAATTAATACAAACATTTTCTATTTAAAGAAAAAGATAAGAAAAAAAGTAAGCTGTCATAATATATCAGAGGTATCACAATAGAAATCGGTATTATAGGTATTTTCAACCTAAAACGACTGAAACATTGTACGTAACTAAAAAAAAATAATTAAAAATATTACTACAGGAATTATGATAGGGCATTGTAGGTGAAACTAGCATCTCACAAAACTGGGTACTGCAATGCATCTTGCAGTGTTTATAGGGAAGAGACTGAGATCTTAAAACACATCCTAGGAGTTTGCTTTTCATTGATGTATAAGCTAAAAAAATAGCTACGTGGAAATTTCACATCGGATAAAAAAATATAACTCTGTAATATAGGTTCAATACTGCAATTTACAGCATAAATTGGACTTGAAAAAATACTCTCAAATGAGAATTTAAAACACATGCTAGGAGTTTGTTTAGCACTGATACAGAAACGAAAGAAGTAGCTAGGTCTGTATCTCATATCGGGGATTAAGATATATTACATAAATAATCGAAGTAGTTAGCTGTGAATCTCATATATGAAGACAAAATAAGAACACATAATATAGGTTCAATACTAGAATTTGAAGCGGAAGTTCGACTTGAAGAAATACTCTGAATTCATGAAGAGGTACATGATCTAGAGATCTAGAGATCTTTATTTAAACTCTTTAATTTAAAAATATAAATGTCTGTGACCAAAAACTGTCTTTGAATAGAACAGTGTGCAATAGTAAGAAATTGCATTCTAATATTAATATAAGAACAATTAAACCAATATGTTAGATATTTTTAAAGATCGTTAAAGACAGATTTTTGCCGGTATTCGAAACAGCTGTACGTCTAGCTTGCAAAGAAAATTAAATTTGTGGATTTAACATGAATTTCTAGTATTACCACCAAATGTATTAACTCAATAATTACAGTTTTTAAAACAAAAAGAAGAAACATTATTTATACACTTTGAAGCTAAATCTTTCCTTATTGAACAGTTAATGGTAAAATACAGGCGTGATTTGTTGAAATAATAGCATTTTATGTAAAACTACAATTGTGGTTTTAATTGGAAACTGCTTTAGATTGTATTGAAATGCTAACAACAATGTCAGGCTTTTTACAATGCTTTCTCAATTGGATATAATCACAATGCTGTCATAACAAAGTAAGCCTGAAGCTAGAGACCAAAAATTAAATTAATCGAACTGTTGGTCAACAATTGAATTAAGTTTGGCAGGATGAACTAAGAGCATTACCTATATTACATATAAATGTGATATGTATGGGTTACGTATTTTTTTTTCTCTTAAATTATAAAAATTTTTTAATTTACTTGCTGGTTCAAGTTGGAGATAAGTTCATTGGAAATATTATTTTTTAAACACTATGATAGACGGTAAGTGCAGTGGGAAGCAGTATTTTAATCTTTCAATTAGAAACTATAAAAATTTATTATTTTGAAATATGAAGAAAATAGCAAATAACACACTTTTTACAGAAGACTCAATAGTATGTAGTATATTCTCATTATATTTGAATTTATTTTGAAATTCAGAATTCCATTATTGCTCAAAATTATCAAATTTATTCCAGCACTATTTCATATGTTTTATGACTAATAGGACTAATAGCACAAAGGATTAACAAAAAAACATTTTCTG